ATTTTCGGGAGTGCATGATGACATTTGCTTCGTGTTCGGAGATGCTGGTGTACTTTCGTGCGTACTGGATCGCATCTGTTAACAATTTTTTTGTGATGGATGGGTAGAATTCCACGATGTCAAAGGAGATGAATGTGCTGCTTGATTTGTATGGGATGTGTTTGAACCATTCAGTTACAGCAGCGGTGTTTTTCCATTAGTTCATTCGGGTTTTTGTGAGCAGGTCACGGTTTATCCGGTGGAGGATGGTCTTGCTTATGAGTCCGGTTTCTGATTTTGATGGGTTTATGAGTCTGCAGCTTGGTTTATTTAGGAAGTTTTCTTTATGATCTTTCAGTGTTATAAAAGCCTCTTTTTCAGCAATGGTTTCCATTCGGTCCTCGATTTTGAGTTTTGTAGCAATTGCTTTGGCTACGTTGTTGATTTCGTGGGTGCTTCCTTCTTTTGCTTTCTCGTATGACGACGTGATGTTTTCATGCATGAGTTTGTCGTACTTTTCTTTAGTTACTTTGTAGAAGTTTGTAGTTTTGTCAGCGGGGATGATGAGCTTGTCCGCTTTGTTGATGGTGATTGAGTCTTGCTTGAGTTTGGTTAGGAAAGCGCATTTCGTGTTGCGGAATTCCACGTCTTCAACCATTTTTAAGACATCTTCTTCGAAGAGCTTCATTTCGTCAAGCTGAGGTGGGTATTTTGAAGTCTTGAAACCATAGGTTTCGTTTCTTTCTTCAGGCTCAGCGGTTTTGTTCAGAAAGTGAAAAGCTTTCCATCTCATGCGTTTCAAGACACATTCTGTTTTGTCGATGAGGTTTTTCTTGTATTCTTTTATCGATGGTAATTGCTGTAAAAGGTCCAGGCAAGATTGAATGGAACTTGGAGAGCCAATTTTATTATTTTCTCCAAGTGTCAAATCATCAACATATTTCCAGACATGGATGACCAGATCCTCAGCATTATATGGATTTAGGTTAAAAGCGGAATTGATAACACAAAGAAAGATAAGAGGGGCAAGTATAGTTCCCTGTGGAACACCACATGAGAGAGATTCCCATTCGGAGTGTTATTCAAGTATCTACATCGTTGTTTGCGATTTTTTCCGCAATTTTTGCGAGTGTTGGGGTGAGAGAGATAGGTCTCAGTTTTTCAATCGAGGGGAGGTGTCTGTTTCGGGAGGGGGATTACATTTGCCTCCTTCCACTGAGTTGGAGCAACTCCTTGTTCAAGGGATGCATTGATGATATGAGACACAGGAAGGCTAAGTTCAAATGCACATTCCTTGATGATCTTCTGTGGAATAATGTCCGGATCCCTGCCTTTGAAACAGACACCCTCTTCAAATCGTCATAGATCTCCCAGGGGTGAAATTGGGGAGGAGGCACATGGCTTGGCAAGTAAGCAGGAAGAAAGTTAGTATTGATTGCTTGATGTTTTTGAGAATGCTTAGCGAGAAATTTATTTATGCAATTTGCAACAGCCAAGTGATCACCAGTGTCGACTCCAGGCACATCAATTATCATGTTCTTTTTGGTACTGTTTGTTAAACCTTTGACTTGTTTGTGCCACTTTCCAGGGTCCACCCGTTTTAGATAACGAACTTTGTGTTCGACCTCATTAATTTTGGCTTTCCTAATTTCTCTTATGATAAGGTTACGAATTTTCTTTCTCATGGTATCGTCTCCCTTTTCATATGCTAATTGCCTTTCGTAAAAAAGGTCCCTATATGGTCTGTCATCCACGGCTTTTCATTACAGTGGATCTTAATTATTTTATTTAAATGGGAAATGTACTTGGATTGCATCATTCATAATTTTGTAAAACGTATCGGCTTTTAATTGAATGTCAACTGCATAATATCGGACCATGTCTGGGTTTGTATCCAACGCCCAAACTCATTGAGCTTGGAATCCGTAATGGGTTGGATAGTTTTAGCAACCATTCTGTTAATAGGGATTCTCACCTTTGGTTGCAATGATATAACACAATGATCACTGCGACCAATAGCGGGTAAATATTGTGGCTCAAGATACAATTCAGACATGTTGGTAATAACAAGGTCAAGTATAACTTGTTCTCTTGTAGGGGAATTAATGATCTGCTTTAAACCAGTGCCTATAAGTATTGACCTAGTGTCCGTGCAGTTAAAATCACCAATAATCATTAGTCCAGCTTGTTTCTTATAAGTATTAATGAAGTCAATGCTACCTGTAAGATGATGAATATACAAATCGCGGATTGGCGAGTCCGGTGGTATATATACAGCTGCTACGATCAAGTACGGGACAGCTCGTGGAAATTTCGGATGAGACAACATAATCCATAAGACTTCCAAGTCAGCTGGAACGACGATGTCTTTCATAACTTCAGCCTTAATGTTATTCTTAACATAGATTATGACACCTCCGCCTCGTTTCTGCTGTCTACACATATTGAATGAGTTAAAAGAGTTAACATCATACGATTCAGGTGCCGTTTGTGGGGTTATCCACGATTCCGTTATAACAGCTATGTCGATATTGTAATTATTAAGAAGCAAATCCAGTTCATTAAATTTATTTAGAATTGAACATGCGTTAGTGGCAACAATTTTAGGAAGAAAAGCTGGATTTCGTATCCTATTATGTATGTGAGATTTGGTTATTTTTACTTCAACAAGTGTTATTGCCTGTTAGTAAAATTGTGCCTCGCCGTCTTTCGTGTTGTAATCCTAACAGGTATTGACCTTCGTTTATTTTTGCCAGCACGACAACCGCTAGGTTTGGTACGAGCGATATTTAATTCATTATTCATTATTATTATTATTATTATTATTATTATTATTATTATTATTATTATTATTATTATTATTATTATTATTATTATTATTATTATTATTATTATTATTATTATTGTGATGGAAAGTCAAC